AGTAAATGTGTAAGAGAAGGACGGGTAAAAGCAGAGCTGATAAATGAGATGAAAGTGATAAATGAAGGGATGCAGTCCCCATCCTAACGAAGACAGATCTGTGTTTGTGACTCTCTGCCCTCACCTTGGCTCAGTCCGGCTCATCTGCTCTGGCTGCCAGGGGCAGAGGTGTCTCCTCACATCACGGCTGAACGTGAGCTCATCCCTCTTTCTTTCCACTCTCACAGGGGTCTTCGGGGCACAGCCGAGGATGCTACCCCCCAGATGGTGACTTTGAAAGGTAGAACTTGCCGGTGGCATGAGTGACGTCTCGCTTGAATGTGTTGAGGAAGTTGCAGGTGCAAACTGGACAGATGAGTCCATGTTGTTTTTGCAAGGGAAGGTGCTTCTTCTTCTTCTTCTTCTTCTTCTTCTCCTTCTTCTTCTTCACTCGTACGTCAGCCCAGATCTAAACAGTTGCTGTTGGTTTTCTTTGGCACAAAAAACAAACCAAAACTACAACTGCAAGCAATTATTATAGGTTCCTCGCCTGACCCAGCAGGTCATCATCACGCCTTTTCCTCTTTCCTGCTGGATTTGTCCTCCCGTGCTCTGGCAGCAGGTGTCTCTGTCCCGAATCCAGTGGAGCCGGATCTGTTCCTCTCCTCACACGCCCAGCTTAGTGCTCTCAGCGGAAACAGTCCAGATTCTACTACCTGGCTAAATTGCCCCTGTGATGGAAAAATATTGTTCAAGGAACAACACTTGAATAATTGAAGCCCGCAGGCTTTAAATTTTGCAAGGAGGAACTCGCTGTGATTTCCAGCACAAAGCTGGCCACCTCAACAAAATATTCATATTATTATTTCAGAATGGATATATCAGGCATTGCTGTCGTCTCGTGCTCTCTCTGTGTGTTCTCTGCGTCTCAGCTGTCACTGGTTGTAACAACATCTCATCGTGTCTTTTTCCTGTAAAGGATCAAACAGCTTTCATCAATAACTTTTAGGGGTAAGAAACCTTGATTTTGGGGGGTATTTTCTTGAAAATTTATAACGAAAGTGTTTTGCATAAACAGGAAGGCAACATTTAGTCTAACATTCCTTCCTGCTAAAATCATTTCAGATTAATTGTACAAACAAATATTATTTGTGATGTGAATTTTTTGTTAGTTTTACTTTGATAAAGAGACTGAAGTAAGCAGCTCTGGGCCAATTTGTACCTTCTCCATCTGTTAGTCCTACTCACATGTTTCTTGACATTTTTCCTCCATTTCAAGTATATAAACGAATCATTTTATACCTACAGGGTTCCTCTAAAGTCTATAAATGTCTGGGAAAGTTTAGAGAACAAAAGATGTAAAAATATTATTATTATTATTATTATTATTATTATTATTATTATTATTATTATTATTCACTATCACATTGTCCAAATGTTGAGTTCTTCTCTCTAACCTTTCTTCCTTTATTCCCTTGTTTCCTTCCTTCTTCTCTTTATTTTGTCCTCTTTCTTCCTGTCATGTGTCCTTCTATCCTTTGTTCTTCTCTTTCCTTTCTTTCCTCTTTCTGTGTGCTCTTTCTTGTTTCTTTCCTTCCATCCTTCTTTCCTTGAAGTTTTTTTTTTTTTTTTTAATTGTGTAGAACTAGTACCTGGTGAAATTTATTGTATCTTCCAGGTGCTTATTATGCTGAATGTTGCACCTTTTTTTATTCTGCTCTTGTTTTTTAGCGTCTTCTAATGTCTTTAACGTTTCTAAGTGGCAAAATGTCTCTTATATAAATCTAGTAGCATTTGTTCATCCAACTGACTGTCAACGTGCAGCAACATGTGGGGGAAGGACAGCTCCTCATTCCTCCATCCATCCATCCATCCATCCATTTTCTTTACACCCTTGTCCCTTAGTGGGGTCAGGAGTTGCTGGTGCCTATCTCCAGCTAACGTTCTGGTTGAGAGGCGGGGTCACCCTGGACAGGTCGCCAGTCTGTCACAGGGCAACATAGAGACACACAGGACAAACAACCATGCACACACACACACACACACACCTAGGGGCAATTTGGAGAGGCCAATTAACCTGATAGTCATGTTTTTGGACTGTGGGAGGAAACCGGAGTACCCGGAGAAAACCCATGCATGCACAGGACCTTCTTGCTGCAAGGCAACAGCTCTACCAACTGCGCCACTGTGCAGCCCCTTTCTCCACACACTAAACATCTATTTAAGAGAATTGCTTGAGAGAGACTGAAGTTGAAAGCTGCTTGGGATCCGATCACTTCTTTCCTCCAAGGCCACCAGGAGAGTCATCACAAACACTTTCACATCTAGTATCACCTACATAATCACTTCGTAATGCAAATGGATTGGCTTCTGGCTGTGTAAGTCATCACTTTTTGTCTCTTTTGCACATTTTATTCTTCTTCGTTCACATTTCAGCTGCACCGCAGACCGTATACATTCCCATATGTCTTTTCTGAGCTGCAGCTCACCTACAGACCCACATCTTTCAAAATAATCTCCTTTCCAGCTGCTAACATGAACAGCAAACTCATCCGTGACTGAGAAACTATCACGGGCTAAAACGCGGTGTATAGAAAACACCGGCTTTGCTGACTTATTACTCTTGTTTTTGAGATTACTGAGATACTTATTGCCTTCTCCAAGAACTATCAAGACTCTTATTGCTTATTTTTGCTCATTTCGAATCTTTGTAGTTTGGGAGAGTTGTCTGCAACAACATGCTTCGTGCGCCAAGTCATACCTGCTGGGTCCAAAAATTTGATTTGTTTTTTCTTTTGAAAAAGTAAAATATATACATATATATTTAGTTTTTACATGCTCAACTACAAACTAAGCTTGTAATATTTCAATGAACTGACCAAAATAGGCTTTTGCTGAAATGGGATCTGAAACTCTTTGAAGGTTCCAGGTTTTCATTTATTTATTTATTTTTTGTCCTGAGCTTTTTGGGTGGTCAATTTTTTTTTTCTATTATTTGATCAATAAAAATTGTCTATCTTTAGCAAGAAATATGGGATTTATATCACTTTATTTTTGCGAATGCTTGCTGTATGTAGCCAAGTTTAGTGAACTGATGCAACTAGATGTGCTTTTGAATAATAGTCATAGATGTTCGTGGTCCAGTTTATGATCAAATTAATAAAACTACCTTAAATTACCTCCAAGTCCTGCATGGTTTTACAAAATGATTCAAAAGATGCGAAATAAAAGCAGCAATAAAATAGAAACTAACCTACAGCTGCTACCAATGATGATTTGGATTGCTGACTAAATTATTTATACTTTGCACAATTTGCTGAATAAGTCAACATTTATTTCAATCCGTCTCCATTTTCTGCTGGATCACCTCCTTTTGTCAGTGATTATATTTCACCACATCTGTTCATATGCAGGAATATAATTATTATTAACTAGGCATAGTAACGTAAAACATTACGTTACATGACATTCTCTTACCAACTTCAGCCAGTATCTTCTCTATTTTCTCTATTTTCTTTTTTTTCATTCTGTCCTTTATCAGAGACACAGAACCAGATCCTTCTGAATTTTCTGTCGTATTATTTAAGAAGTTTCGGAATGGGGATTCTTGTACTTTTGTGAGGCTAATAGAGATGACACTTTCCATATTTAATAAGCTAACGCAGTATCTCTTCCTACCTTTCTCTCAGCAGGAGTTTGAACAAATTTCGTACCTAAATGTCAGAATATTCCCATGCATCTCTGAGTTTCCTAATTAAATTTTCATTTCAAAGCTTCTGTAATTTCCATGGCTCACTCAGGGATCATCTGGGAGAAGAAGCGTCTAATTTCAGAACACAAATCAGCATCCCACATAAAATGTATCAGAGAAGATATTTTTTATTTTATTTTTTATTTCTACCCCCTCACTGTTTGATTCATTTGTGGCTGTGTGTGTGTGTGAGCCACATGTGAGGTCTTGTGAGCCGACTGCTGCAAGGATTGTTTCATTTCCCACAGAGAAAACGAATTAAATTATGACACCTTTCTGTGCTGCCTCTCATCTGCTGCTTTTCACTCTGTCGAGGGATGACAAAGCCGCTAAATATAGGTCCACAAGTGGAGTGTGAAACCTCTCCACCTCGCTCTGCGTTCGTGTGGGTATGTGGCAGCCGAAAACAAGAGGCTGTCGTGGCAACCTGAACAAAGGTTTAATCGTCTCACAAAACAACGTGATGTGTGCGTTTTTGGAGTAAAAGGAGAGAAAAGAGTGAAAAAAGGGGGTTCGTTTTAATTCAGTGTATTTACTCGTGTGATGGTGCAGAGAAAGAGAGAGAGAAAGGACTGGAACGATGAAACCAACTGATTTCCTAGCAGGAGGAGCACAACTGCATTAAAAATGATGGCAGGTACATCAAGTCTCTTAGGTGACTCAGAACAAAAAAACAAAAACAAAAACGCGTAACCCTTTTACACAGAGAATGGATTCAATTCATCTGCTGTAACACTAACCCAGAGAGCCAGACATACCCAAGGCTCCTTTAATTATTTCGGGGAGCGCTAGATATTTGTTCAATTTAGTAATTAGTTTTTATGAATTATTAAGAACTTAATTAGACTTCAAAGGGCAACAGATCCAATGCGTTCAGTTCTTAACACAGACAACTCATGTAGTTGTTTTTGTGACGAAAAGATTGTTAAATGCGTAAAAGAAAAAGTGCTGCCGTCCATTATAGATTTCTCTTCTTATGCCTTAATGTTTCAACCAAGCTTGAGTTGATAGAGGGGGACAAAAGCGTTCAAAATGAACTTGGTCACGTGTGGAAAAAGTTTCACTTTTTTCCCCACCTGAACTCAAATATTTTCGGAAAACTCTTGGAGAAAATCAAGACATTTCTGCCAAATGTGAGGTGGGACTTTGTGTTCTTTTTGGCCAGCAGTGGCCGTGAAACCCCAGTCCCCTCTCCTCCCCCCATGGAAACCATTTTTCCAGCCTCTTCATTACTGTTGAACAGTAATTTACTGAGGGAATGGAGGGAATAGTTATCTTTTTTTGTGCCTTCCTGTTCCTTCCCTCCTGGAGTCATCTTGTTACGCTGACAGCTACTGAGAAAGTTAACAATAGTTCTGTGTTTCTCCATGTACAGATAATGGCTCCTACTGTGGTTTGCTGGAGTGCAAAAGCCTGGAAATGACATTGCATCCATTTTTCTAGACAGTCGTCTTTCTCGTCTGTTTTCGAATGTCTTTATATTGGAGTTTGCTGCGTTGTTGTTTGAGATGTTTCATCCTTCTTCGTGTTGCCTGACAGCCTCTGTTGAA